TATCGGTATCGGACATAAAAAAGTGGTATCGTGCCATCTCTAATCGTTATCGGACAATAGATGTTTTATATCGGGATATGAGATTTTGGTCATATCGCACAGCCCATGTTAAATTTAATCATCACATCGGCCTCTTCTGACGACCTGTTTGCTGCTACCTGCTGCTGAAAGGCTGTGGGGAGAGGGGACACTTGGGCAGCGCATTTACCACGACATATAATGTGTTTTCTGGATACACTGTGCTTTTTCAGCGTTCAAAGATTGATGGACAGCGGCTGATAGCGCTGTAAACAACGGTAGACTGGTGGGTAATAAGCGAATGAATAATACCGAAAACAGAAATTTGAGATTGGAAACTGTTCTTGAAATACCCAAAGAGAGAGAGAGAGAGCTGTGCAAGTGTGATTTTATCGTGGCGGAAGCAAAACAGCAGAAGTCAGAGGGAATTCATGACGATGTTTATCAAATGTGAAGCACAGTTTGGATCTTCTTTTGCTGCTGGTTCAGTGAATTTCGGTTGGAGAGACACAAAACCTGCAGTTCAATCTAGAGCAAAATAGACGTAAAGACAGCGCAGACCCGACGCATCAGAATCAGTGAGCTGTTGGCTTTCAGCCCCAATGGCGTGTCCGTGTACGTGCCGTCAGGTGAGAAAGCTGAGAAAGAGAAAGCTGATTTTGATGCGTCAGGTCCGTTCTGTGTGTCTTTGTGTGGAATCTACCTGCTCTCATTTACTGTTTGGTGGTTGTTGAAATAGTTTTATGAGCTTTAACCTGAGATTCTGGGGTTTCTGGCAAAATACATTTATATTTAAAAGTCAATTCAGGATTTAATGAATCAATATCACTTTATTCAAGCTACTCACCTTTCTAAATCCACCTGCACTTTGAACTGGACCACGGCCAATCAGAAAGGTCCCGCCCCTGACTATCTCTGATTGGTTTAGACCACGATAGGGGCATAATGTGTGTCTGCTGTTGACCACACAGAGACTTTCAGAATTGCGGAGACTTTTTTTTTGTTACTCGAACAGTTGGTCGCACCGGTGCGACCTAAGATTTTTTTTTTTAGTCGCACCGTTGAAAAATTTGGTCACATTTGCGACCAAATTGGTTGCACTCTAGAGCCCCGTATAACAAAATTTAGAGCTTGTTCCCAAATGTCTTTTTATCACATTTGGATAAAAGACACATTTGGGCATTTGGATAAAAGCTTTTCTTCAGTCTAGAGGGAGGATCTGTAATGCCTTCCAGAGGGCAACCATGTAAGAAAATGAGAAGCATCGTTGATGATGTCTCTGACATAATGTACATATGCTCAACTGAAAATAGCTGAGTGTTGGTGGCCATCTGTGCTGATTTATTAACTCTCTCAAAAGCCTTTTTGTTGGTATGCCTGCTGCGCTGCTGCTAACAACTGTTTTGACAGATTAGCTTTCCTCAATGTCTCAATTAGTGCCACTTCGGCGCCTTCTTCACCAGACTGGTTGTGTCTATAATTCACGTGAGGTTCTGGAACATGTGTGCTAAAAAAATTAAAAGTTGAATAGTCTCCAAACAGTTTCTCCACCTATGTTTAATGGAACAGGTTCCTAGAATAGAACAGAATAGAATAGAATTCAACTTTATTGTCATTGCACATGTCATAAGTACAAGGCAACGAAATGCAGTGTGCATTGATCCAGAAAGTGTTTTAGTAATAATATAGGTAGATATGGATCTATTATAGGTATGTTACAATGTACACGGTGTGAAGGTATGTTATGAATATGCTATAACTATAAGTATGTATAGGCTGTAGTCAGTGTACAAGCTATATACAGGATATAAATATGGTTAAAAATATGAAACTATACAGATTGTAGATATACAATTGTAAGTATTAATAAACAGTTATAAACAGTTGTAAACAGACCAGAACAGAACTATAATTATTGTATTGTACAGAATGATTGTCTATACAGAAATAGTTCTGTATAGGTTCCTATTTCTGTCACCTGAAGCTAGTGATCAGTTCTTTTGCTTTGGAGGTATTGAATGCCAGGTTATTGGTGAAGCACCACTCACATAGTTAGCAGAGTTCATTCCTGTTGGCAGAATTGTTATCATTATATATTAATCCAGTGACATTGGTACCATGTCCAGTCTTGATGACTAAGTTGGTGCTGGGGTGGATGTGCAGTAATAGTGTACAGGGAGTAGCAAAGTGGGCTTAGCACACAGCCCCGGAAGAGTGTCAGAGTGGGGAACTCCCAACTCTGTGGTCCATTTGTTAAGAAATCCTTGACCCATCTGCATGTGTGCTCACTGTCACCAGTGTGCTGGGTATGGTTGCGGCTTTAAAACAGGGCTTCAGAAACCAATGGGTGACATCACAGTACCTATGTCCATGTTTTATATGGCTTATGATCAATATCTACAACTAACTACATGTTTGTTTAACTTACACTACTATCTTATTGTATGTTTACATGCTAACTTGCATAAAAACAGTTTCTGAGGTTATTCCTTCTGTACCAAAATGCAGACCAACTGATAAATAACACGAGTGGCTCAGAATTTGATCCGTGATGTGTTTTTTAGAAGAAAATTTGACACAAAGTCTAATGTTTCAAAAACATTTACACAAATATCAAGATCCCTATATGATGTGTTTGTGTGATCTCTGGGGATTCCCCTGACTTTGTCCTTTTTGTCCACTTAGTTAACTGTGCATTTGGAATATTCATCTGTGGCAGCCCCATTGGGCATTGAAAACTGTGTGAAATTATACAACTATGTAGTTTAAACAAGGGCAAGAAAAAAGTAATAATTTGGTGTCTCAACGTTACTACTCCTAAAGCCTTTCATTTGTATTTGTGATTCTAGAAACTCATTTCAGTTTCTTAACCGGCAACATGAAAAGCTCAACCATAAGCTCACTTGTAAAACAATTAGGCCATAACAGAGCTTAACATGCAATCCAAGCATTCAAATGACAGGGTGTCTTTCACTCACTTTCTCTGTATGTGAGTGTAGAGGTTTGTGTGTTTGTGTGCCGCGTCAGTCAGACACAAACAGTAACAATCTCAGATTAACATTAATGCAGGGTTTTACTGTGAAATCTGACAAATCACAGAGCCGGATTATGGGCTAAACCAACATTTGCTGGAGTGTGTTTCCAAGCTAGCTCATCTCAGCTGACCCAATGTTGATTGTAGTTATTAGTACCAGTGCAATACTTTAGAGTCCCTTAGCTATGAGTCATCTTCCTGGGCTTAAAGTGAAAGCCAGATGATTGACAAATAAAAAATTGCAGGAATCATATCCAGACCGAGGACTTATGGGAGATTCTGCTCTTACATGAACCTGAGATGGAGGCCGGTGGAGACCACAAACAATATAAAGATACCCTGAGATTTTTTCTTTTCACATGAAAAGTCGAAGAATGTCAGTAAATGTTAGATTAAATATTACAAGTAACAACTGACTTCTTGCAGCAGTTTAAAAGCAACTTCAACCTCACTAATAATAAAGTTATGAGTTTGAAAATGACACTCAGGGCTCCTCCCACGACGTTCAAACAATAAATGTAATAAATGATACATCAATCATTCAATCAATAATAAGAACAGCGGTCAGTTGAATCCTCGTTGCACCAACATATGTGATAGGTATGAAAGAAAATATAAAATATTATTGGCAGACTTTACAGCCAAATCCAAGAACAGTTGTCTCATATAAACTATTAAAGCACAGAGTGCAGCTTTGGAACAGCGCATACAGACCGTGTAGCAGTAAAATCTTCACGTTTGCATCCCTCCCTGCATGCACAAGACGAGCGTGAAAGGAAATCACGGCGGGAGAGGTGGAAGTTAAAGAGATGGCGAGTGCGCACAATTAGCTAAAAGAGCAAACACGTCTCCGCTTATGATGTTTGGGAGAAAAAATAAAATACAAGGAAGATAAAAATGTGGTTAGGGGGCGTTTACTTACCCCGTGAAATGTGTGTGGAAAATAGTTAAACCGGTTCGTTAGTTTTGTCTTCCTCCGGGTTCGTCTCCATTTGTGCGCGAGAGGACAGCGAAATGCGAAAGTGTCGGTCTTCTGTTCGTCTGCCTGCCCCCCCCCCCCCCTTCTCTTTCTCCCCTCTTACGCAGCCTCGCACGCGCGCACACCTTCCCTCCGCCCGTTTCCAGATGTGTCACGCGCTGCTGAGAATCACAGCTCAACAGCCTGATTATGAAAAGCGTCTCCGCGCGGCATGGTAATCCAGATTAACCACAGAGTTCTGCGGTCCTAACACACACTCGCACAAACTCACCCACGCACACACGCACGCTGGCACAGTGTGTGTCTAATAATCGTCTAATTGTATCCTACACACAACAGGGTGACAGCTGAAGTACACCCTGAGGGTTGAATACCGTTACACAGCCTACTGCATTAAACTCCGTTACTCGTCTTATCGATCAAAAGTACCATAATCAGCAGAACACACTGATACTGGAATGTGCGATTTTTAAAAAGAGTATGTTTAGCTTGAGTGAAATGCCAGAGAAGACTTTTATGTGATGCTAAAAAGGAAAGAATAAATACGGCTCCCTTCTTCTGTGCAGTTTGGCCTACATGAAACACAATGTGAGCCCTAGAAATGACAACGTGAGGAATGGGGCAGACTGGCCTGCAGGCTGCAGCTGGGGTAAGAGACAGTAACCCCCATCCATCACTGCCTGGAGGAGGAGACTCAGTGAAGAGCTACAGTCTGTGTACAGTTTGGTCATTTTCATGGTTCTGTTTTACTTTAACTCTGCTCTGTTGTTATTATGGCGTTACACGTTTTGTTTACTTGTTGGTGTTAACATATGAGCAGTGAGTGGAGTCATGGAACCAGAGGGTCCTTAAATAGTCCTGAAAGGGTTTGTTTTTGTTCCTGTGAGAACTTAAAAGATTCCTTGAATTAAATACATGTCCTTACTCACTGTCATTTTTCTGGTGCACTTGTCATTGCTGCAGCACATTCAGTTTGCAGAGGTTGTCCAGCTCCTCCAGGATGGCACATCTATGCATTTCATTGCAAGAACGTTTGCTGTATCTCTCAGCACAGTCTTGAGAGCGTGGAGGAGATTCCAGGAGATGGGTGATTACACAAAGGTGAGGTGAAGGCTGTTAGAAGGGCTTCAACCCAGCTGCAGGACTGGGATTGGCTTCTTTGTGCGAGGAAGAAGAGGAGGAGCACTGCCAGAGCCTCGCAGAGTAACCTCCAGTGGTCTACTTGTGCACATTTCTGACCAAACTGGCATGAGGTCCTGATATCCTTTATTAGGACCTGTGATCACACCACAGTGCTGTGCAGCTCCATTGGCATTTGCATGTGAACAAAAGAAGTAACTACTCCTCATACTTTCTGTCAGACCATAAATTGGTGTTTTTTTTATTGTACTGTGAAGCTTAAGCATTAGTTCTCTTTAGCAGTGTCATTTTCTAAAGACTCTCTAATGGCCACTTGAGCTTTCAAACACAGAGTGAAAGCAGCATGCTAGATCACGTCTCCAGCAGGAGGCACAGGACTGAAAGCAGGTCACCAACTTGGCAGCTGGCACAGCATATAATTACTGTACTGTAGATGTTAGACCCCCCAAAGTAGAACACTGTGAAGTGTATTGGGTCAAAAATAAAAAGCTTCATAATAAGTGCATTTACGAAGTGTGCAGATTTTGTGACATTTTCAAACACAGACCAGGTGGAAGCTTGCCTCAAAGTAAATCTAATCATGCAGTATGGTAAAGCATAGCTTTAAGGTATTAAACATACTTTAAGGTTTTCCCCTATTTATTTAAAATTCTGCTTAATTTTTCTGTTTAAGGCTATTTTCTGGAAGAACACTCTTTTAAGCTTTCTGGTGCAGAGCTTTTTTTCATCACATTATCATATTAACCTTCAGATATTGAATCTCAGATAAAGAACTGAGTCCCTTAAAAAGACAATCGCCGTGGTGGAGTTATGCAATCTCCACCACAGCAACTGCATAATGGAAATAGTTCATGTAGGCAGTATTCACAGGAAAAAGTAAAGAAAAGTCGTATCTCATAGCATATATCTCTGCCGAGCAACACAAGAATATATAAACGTGCTTTTCATAACATTTGGTTGCACAGGCCACGATGAGCTCGCCGCCACGGTAACCCAAGTGACGTATTTTATTCTCATTAGTTTAAATGCTCATTTCTATCATCTTATTTCTTTTTTTTTTCCACAGTTGCATAACTGCTCTAATATGACCTGGTTAAAGAACCAGATAGCTTCACATTATATTCTTTTATTTATACATAATAATTAAAAAACCTCTCATCACATTCCTCCTTTAAAAAAAAATGTAATTCTTCTTCATATTCTCCACGGCTCTGTCTACCTCGGTATGTTACTTTAATTGCTGCTTTACATAAGAATGAAATCCCAGTCTGTGTTTGCATGAGCTATTTTTAGAGTGCAGCCATGACAGGCCAGTATTTTAACATATCTGCCTGGCATATGTTATTAGGATAATTACGCTGGTATTTCTTCAGTACGTGGGTTCGTGAAATCAAAAATGAGTGCTCAGGCCCCGGGGGCTTCATCGCTCCAGCTAACCCCTGCTCAGTCCCTGTCTTTCTCCGTGTCTGCCGTGTGAGTGACTGTGGCCGTGCGAGTGTTGGCCACCCCCTCCTCAACACACACTCACACACATATCTAGCCATCTGTTGACATGTGCAGTTGTTCAAAAATAGCCCCTCTACCAGAAGCTTCCGTAAGTGGCCTGCAGATCAGCAGAGAGGGCTCCTGTCCCACGTCCATGCAGGTTGTTTTGACTCTACAATGACCACGTGTACTCTAAAACCACAGCAAGATCATTTCTGTTGTTCATTTTTTTAACCCCTCTGTTCTTCTGGGGTTTTTGTTCTTTGATCATTTCCTGATCCAGAGTGGCTGCTTGAAGTGCTGCAACCAAAGCTGGAAATGGAGCCCGTTTCTGACCAGTTCATGCAATTCCACCCCATCCATGGTACCAATGTTCGACTGGACCACTCGGAAACCCAGGCCACAAGAGTTGAGAGCTTTGCCAATGGAGTTTGTTTTAGCAAATGCCCCCTGAAGCCTGGAGAGATTTTTCTAATAGAGATTGAAGATAAGGAGCTGGGATGGTGTGGCCACCTCCGGATCGGTCTGACCGCCAGGGACCCCAGGAGCTTAGAGGTGGTGCCTGAATACGCCATCCCAAACTTGACAGATTTAGGGGACAGCTGGATATTTGCTATCACGCGCAACCATAACAAGATCGTCGAGGAGGCTGAGTTCATAGAGCCCAGGCAGGGAGAACTGGTCGGGGGACGGAGGCTTGGGCGAGGGGAGGAAGAAGACGGGGCTGGAGATCAGGCAGACGAACGAGCGGTGAGGAACAGAAAACCAAAGACTTTCTTCACCGACACCCACTTGTACATCGAGAATGTTCGAATTCCCAGAGATAAGCTGGTTGGTCGGAGCCGGCCCGGGCGCTACAGTCACATTTTAGACGACTTGTATAAAACCAACGCCCTGCCTCCCACAGCCAGACGCAGCAGGATAGGAGTACTGTATGTGCCTAGAGGAGAAGGCCTGGCTGACATGCACATAGTCATTAATGGGGAGGACATGGGAGCTTCTGCAAAGGGAATCTCTACTGCGGGGCCTCTCTATGCTGTGGTGGATGTATTTGCTGCTACCAAGTGTGTTCGGATTGTCCAGGTGGAGTATGGATGTGAGTGTAGGAATGATTTTGAGATAATAGGATGCAAGGTACTGACATTGATTGGCACTAAAAAAAAAGATAAAACACAGCTACAAAGGAGTCATTGTGTACACGCTCCTTTATTAACATCTTTGTGGTCATCTTCACAGTCACTTTGCATTTCTCTGTAGTTATTTAATCTCTTTGTAGTTGTCTGGCATCTCTTTGCAGTCTGTTGTGTCAAGTTTTTGTCATTTTGAGTCTCTGTGTTGTTGTGTTTGTGTCTGCTTATAATTTTTATCTTCTCTTTGTCAGTTTATGGCTGTTTTTAGCCTCTTTTGGACTTTTTGCATCTCTTTGTGTTCATGTTGTGTCTTGTCGTGATTGTTCTCTGCATCCAAAGGGTCATCACCTTTTTGTCATGTTGGGCTTCACTGTGGTAATTTGACCATCCATCAAATATTGATGACTGTTTAATAATTTCAGTTGCTCAGGCTCAGGGGCAGCTGGGCAGTTTGCATGTTTAGAAATTCTTTAGTGCTTTTTATTTATCTCTTATTTTCTCTATTGCCTTTAATCTGCTAAAACACTTTGTATTTTTGTCATTTTCCTCTTCTCTTTTCTGTCGCTCCAGTCTCATCCTTGCAGACACTGTGTAGGAAGGCCATCCAGAAGCACATTGTTCACAGGATGGCCATTGACTGGCTCGAGCTGCCAGAGGCACTCAAACACTACTGCAAGTATGAATGAAGGACACATGGACACATGGATATCACTTAAGTGCTAGTTCCCATCAAGAATTTGATATTTATTTGGATGACATGTATAAATTATAGCGTTACACTCTTTTCACTTGGAGCTGACATGAATTGTTTGAGATGACAAGATCAAAGTAAAGTAAATTTAAATAGTTTGTTATGTGTCTGTTTGATTGATTAGTTTTAATGTTTGCATCACAGGGAGTTTCACACATCGCTGTGTCTGTAATGAATAAAGTTGTTCCAGCTGCGGTGCAGCTGCTTGCAAGCAGAGGGTGAAATTCATGTGATGATCTGGTCACACGGAGTCATTTCCACATTCATGTTCATGTTTCACCATTTTATTTTTTTTCTGACTCGATGGATGAACCAGTGTTGTGTCTACACATAACACAGAACTTAGCAAATAATTCATTTTAAATTGTATGTTTAGACTTTGTCATTAGTAGCCTTTCAGAGGAAAAAAAACTATGGCAGATAAACAGTATTTATAAGTAATGTCCTTATGAAGTAGGAGAAAATCCAGCAAAGACCCTGTAGCAAGGCACAGGGCCTACTCATAATGAATATGTTGCCCCAACCTAGTTAATTAGACTACAC